CTGCTGAAGGTTTCTCAATACTGCCACCTTAGATAATTCCTAGAAGAGAGCTAGACTACAAAATAAGAATCAGAAGAAACATTGCCTTGGTCCCGTATTGCCCAACTCATTTGCTGCTGTTGTTGCTTTTTAAACTGAGATCCAATTTCCTGGTGTTTCTGGAACAGAATATTCCAGGAAAACCCTCTTGTATGTAATGTGGCAGATATTTTTACTTACTTGAAAACATCCTAAAGCACAGCAAGAAACACATCTTGAAATTTTCAGACCAGATCTAATAAATGTGCATTTGAAAGTTAGGCCTACTGCATTCCATGGAAAGTGGTCTATAGTTTTTGACAGAGAGTGGCTGTCTGTGGTCACCATTGTCAGAGAGTCAACCTTTCTTGAAACTAATTAAGCTGCTTTTTAATTTTTAAAAGTAAGAAGTGGGAACATATGATATAGATCCCTGTGAGAGGGCTTTTTGGGTAGCAGCATTTTAGATTAGTGTTTTATTTTAGAATTAGATTATAGTGTTTCTGACAGGCACTCACAATTTCATTGTTCCTTTAGACTTTTAAACAAGTGTTTAAACAACATGTTATTTCTGTTTCATATTTCTACTGTGATTTTATTGCACCTACATTGGTTTCTGGGCCTTGGTGGGCTGAAAAGAAATATGTAAAAATACAATTCGGCAATAATTCAATTTGCTCCACTGAATAAGGGGTGCACCTACCCTGTAGAAGTAATGCAGTTTGATACCACTTTAAATGCCGTAGCTCAATCCTATGGAATCCTGGAATCTGTAGTTTTACAAGGTCTGTGGCCTTCTTTGCCAAAGAATGTAGATACCTCACCAAACTACCAATCTCAGGGCTCTGTAGGATGGAGCCATGGCAGTTAAAGTGGTGTCAAACTGCATCATTTCTGCAGTATAGATGTACCCCATGTTGACCCTAGAATTTGTTGTTGTTGTGTGCCTTCAAGTCATTTCTGATTTATGGTGACCCTAAGGCAAACCTTGATCATGGGGTTTTCTTGGCAAGATTTGTTCAGAAGAAGTTTGCCATTGCCTCCCCTTGAGGCTGAGAGCATGTGGCTTACCCAAGGCCACCCAATAGGTTTCATGGCTGAGATGAAAACCAGTCTCATCTTTCTATCCTCTCTTCAGAGACCTACATCTTCCCAAAAGCTCCTCTTGAATCACTCTTAAATTGGCTGTAGCTGATGTACTCATCTTCACCCACCACAATTCTTTTATCATAAACCATGACTGGGTCTTGGACTGGCCTGAGCCATTTTGAGGATCAAGATGGCACCTATCCCCATTCCATGTAAAACAACAACAAAAAAAGACTGGACTGTGCTTTCAGTTTCTGTTCAGCACTGGCCATGGCATTCTCCACCTGCATTCAATGGTGGCAAACTAGTTTAAGGGGTACAGGGCTGTCTCATGGAAGGGCCAACCCTGATCGGACCATTCTGTTGCTGTCTATGGGACAGAATGACTTTCAGAGAAGAGTGTCTGTCCTATTGCATCTCTGCATAAATCACCAATCTCAGCCAAAGTGGTAAATCTCATCCCAGAGCAGTGACTCACCATCCTGAAATTCAGAGGCTGGCCTTCTTGGAGGTCAGCTAATCCTTACTGACAGTTATCAGTATTATTTCACTGAAAGAAAACAATTCTTATTTAAAGGAAACAGCAATCCAAAATCCCAAATACTTCTGGTCCCAAACATTTAAAATAAAGAAATGCTCACCCTGTATCTCTCCCCCTGCAACCTTCTTTATCCTCACAACAACCTTGTGAAGACTGACAGTGATGAGTGCAAGGTCATCTAATGAGTTTAGAGGTTGAATGGGGATCTGAGCCTGGATCTTCCCAGTCCTATTTTAGCACCTTAGCCTTTAGGGCTGAATCTGCACAGCAGAATGAATGCAGTTTCACACAGCTTTCACTGCCATGTCTCAACAATTCTGGGATCTGTAATTCTGTGAGATAGTCTTCTCTGTCAGAGAGCTCTGGTGCCACAACAAACTACAAACCCCAGGATTTCCATAGCAGGGAGTCATGGCAGTTGAAGCAGTGTCAAATTGCATTATTTCTTCAGTGCAGATGTAGCCTATATCACATTTAGCCCTATATGTCTATGTTCCCATGACAGAACTACCTACCACTGGATGTATCTGTCAAGCAGTGGATATGTGCTGTTATAGCATACCTGCTATGCACTGCTGTAGAAATAATATACAGTTTTTCATAGCGAAATCTTAAAATACTCTCATGTTCCTTAAACAATGTTGTTGTCCTCTCTGTTTCAAAAATGTGTGGGAGGGAACTGAAAAGGGACTCTGTCCTTTTGGTCCCACGCAGTGCCAACTCCACGCCATTTCCCGCCCGTTGTCTGTATATTACGAGGGGGAGTGTCATCTATGTTATGCTTGGATTAAGTGCTCAAATGTAGTACAAGGCAACCTGACATAGCTTTGACCCCCTTTTCAGGACAACCCTCTGCATGGAACGTGGCTCATATAACTGCCAGCTTGAAATGCCAAGCCTGGTGGGGTTTCTCTTTTAATCCCACAGCATGCCAGCAGCCATTCAAAAATACCTCTCATTTGTAAAGAAGCAGCTGTCGCAGTTCCCAAGTTCATTTCTATTTCAAAACTGCTGGTCATGCAAGTCAAGCTGATCTTTTTTCTGCTTCTCCTCTGACCTGTCCCCTAGTTTCGACTGGAGGTGGGCATTGGCAGTGTGATCAAGTGATTGAATTATATAGTGTGTGTGTGAGAGACCTCTGACCCTCCTCACTCCCTTCTTTGGAGCTCATTGTGCGCTGGAAACCTGTGGCTTGGCAGGCTGAGTTAGTATAAAGTGACAGGCAGGGAGAAAATTAAAACACCCACTTTGCTTCCCATTCTGCAGTTTTTCAGCCCCCAAATCTCCCCCAGTCAGAGTTTTGTGTTTTTGAGTATAGTCCTTCTGCATATCAGAGCAATGTACAAGTTCATAAAGAAAACAAAAATAATGACCAGGGAGGATCTACATAAATTCAACCTAGACAATGAGGAATGGGAAAAAGTTAAAAGATTTCCTGTACCTTGGATCAAACATTGCTCAGAAAGGAGACAGCAGTCCAGAAATAAGAAGTCTAGGAATGGGAAGGGCAGTGATGAAAGAACTAGACAAGATCCTAAAGTGTAAAGATATACAACTGAGCACTAAAGCTAGAATCATCCAAGCCATTGCATTCCCCATCAGTATGTACGGATGTGAGAGCTGGACAGTGAGGAAAGTGGATAAAAAGAAAACCAATTCTTTTGAGATGGGATGCTGGAGAAGAGGGCTACAGATATTGTGGATGGCCAAAAAGACAAACAAGTGGGTCCTTGATAAGGTCAAGCCTGAAACCTCCTTGGAAGCCAAGATTATTAAAGTGAGGCTGTTGTACTTTGGTCACATCATGAGAAGGCACAACCCATTAGAAAAGACAATAATGCTAGGAAAGGTGGAAGATAATAGAAAGAGAGGAAGACCCCATGCCAGATGGCTAGATTCAATTAGAGAGGCCATGGGCCTGAATCTACAAAACCTAAGCAGAGCAGTAGAGGACAGGGGGGGCTTGGAGATGTCTCATCCACAGCATCACCATGAATCAAGGGCAGCTAACAACAACAAGAAGAAGAATTGAAATTTACACACAATATGCAGTAACAGTGGTGCTTGGTAAGGTAGAAGGCAGTACGAAAAGAGGAAGTCTGCCTTAAAGATAGATAGATTCAATCAAGGAAGCCACTGGCAAGGGAGGCCTCTCATTCATAGGATCACCATAAACTGAAGTCAGCTTGACAGCAGTAAACAACAGCAATGCATTTTAGGAATTGGATCAAGGCAGCCTTTCCCAGTCTATTTGTCTTATTGTACTCTCATTATCCCCAGCAAGCAGACCCATTCCTGTTTCAATAGATTTGCACTTCATTGTGACATTTCCTTTTGGAAACCACATTTCCTCCAGTGTCAGCCACCCTTTCCACCTATTCTGCACTCAAAGGACAGACAATCTTTCCCATATCTTTATGCCCTACCTCAGGGGTAGGCAACCTTTCCCCTTTAAGGGCCGAGGGACTTCAGCTCCCAGAAGCCTCAGCCATGTTGGCCAATAGCTCCTGAGATCCTGGGAGCTGAAGTCCCTCGGCCCTTAATGGGGACAGGTTGCCTAATCCTGCCCTACATGGAGAAGCAGCACTCATCCACTATACCAGGAGTAAGCAACCTTTCCCCTTTAAGGGCCGAGGGACTTCAGCTCCCATTATCCCAGGAGCTATTGGCCAACATGGCTGAGGCTTCTGGGAGCTGAAGTACCTCGGCCCTTAAAGGGGAAAGGTTGCCTACCCCTGCATTATACTGTCAGTCTCTTGCCCAGTTGTATTATTTCAGTTAGGTTTGTGATTATTGCAGAAGAGTCAAATGACGGTGGCTCCCTTCGAACCAGCTCCCACTCCCACCACATTGCACTGCGATAACACACTTTCTTTTCATGCCTTGTTAAGAAACCTCTTGCTCATTCATCTGCAGACAGGACTTCTTCCTTTTCTTGTTATAACGTGGGGGTAGACAAATTGTGGTCCTCCAGTTCTTGATGGATATTTCTGCATTCACCACCATGCTGGCTAGGTCTGTTGGGAGCTGCAGTCAGACATCTGGATGCTCACATTTCACCCACCTCTGAGCTAATGGATATTCAAGATAGTAATGCATAGTCATTATTGCGGGCCCCAGTTCTTTCAATCTGTGTGCACCAACATCCACTGTTTTAATGTTTAATACCAGGGCCACTATACTTTATTATTTTACCTCATTTTGCTGGATGCAAATGGAAACTGTAACAAATTGTTGCAACCTCTTTTCTCATTTTATTGTTTTTCTCTTATAACTGTCAGTCCACATTCTGCGGCTTCTCAGCATACTGCATCCATGTTGTACTTTTTGTGTGTCTGTATGTTTGCTTTGAGCCACTGTGGTGTAGTGGTTTAGTATTGGGCTGTGACTCTGGAGGGCAGGGTTCGATCCCCTGCTCAGTCATGGAAACCCACTGGGTGACCTTGGGGAAGTCACACACTCTCAGCTTCAGAGGATAGCAATGACAACCCCCCTCTGAAGAAACTTTGTCAACAAAACTCTATGATAGATTAGGGTCACCATAAATCAAAACTACTTGAAGGAACAGAATGACATTTGCTCTTACTTTTTCCTCCTCCTCCTCCTCCTCAGTATTATTATTATTGCTGCTACTGCTGCTGCTGCTATCGTCATTTTTTTATTCAATAGAGCAAGCTGATTATACTTCCCTTGTTTCTCAGTAGTTCTGTTTTGGCTCCAGTCCTGTTGGCACTAACCATCTGAATTCAATGTTAGAAGGAGGGAGTGATAACAAGCATGCTAAAAAGTCAGAATGTAAGACCACACTGAGTGAATTACATGCATTAGCAAATCAGAATGAACCCATGTATTTTAAAGAACATGGGAATCCTAACCAAGCATCATTGTGCGATAACAACAAAAACCTGTTTGAGTTGCTGATCGGTAATTGAAAACAGAAGTCAGGCATTAGAAGAGGAAGCAGGCTCCATGCCAGATATTAATAAAGCTGGACATGCGGCCAGAAGGAGTGGTGCTACGTGTTTTATGCTGAAAATATAATACATGGTTCTCATCATGAAAACTGCTGCAGAACCAGCAGCAAAGGCCTTTCAGATTATAGGAGAGAATAATCTGCATGGCCAATGACTACACAGTTTCATCACTGGTTGTTTACTTATGTGCACACATGGGCTCACTGGGAAGTATCATGGAGCCAGATAGCGCATGAATTTCAGGACAGCAAGATGGATGAGGTATTTTTAAAAGCTTCTGAGCTGTGATATGTGAAAGTGTTGCACACAGAAGGAAAAGAAACCATGCTGTTTCCTATCTCACCCAGTAGTTTGAGTGAGAAAACAAAAAATGAAACGAGGCTTTAAAAAACCTGTTAGATACAATTTGGGTGAGTATAAATCATTTTTATGTTTCTGTTTATTAATTCAAAGCATTTACTCCACTCTTCCACTTATTTGTTATGCCACTTCTTCAACTGAGAAGGGACCTGCTTGGGACTCTACCATCCTGATTGTTTGACAGAATCTGGACACTTGTATTTCAGATCCACACAGAGTTATGCATATCATTGTCAACATAAACAGCTCCCTGTCAGTTGTACAGAGAGCTGCAAGAACTGAGCCCTGGTCTTGGCAAAGGCAGAAAGGGATGTGTATTCTCTCAGACTCATGTTTCATGTATAAATGAGAAGATGTTTTAAGTATTCCACTCTGGGCCCTTTCGCACGACTCACTTATAGGAGCACTATGATTCCATTTTAATTGCCATGGCCTCATCCTACGAAATCCAATTTGTTGAGGAGAATTAACAATGGTCCAGAATACATTGCAGAAGTGTGAAGTCGAAGGCTTTTATGGCCGGCATCCATAGTTTTTTGTGGGGGTTTTTGGGCTGTGAGGCTGTGTTCTAGAAGAAGGTTTTTATACATTAGATAAAATAATAACATAGGTCCAAAACACACTGCAGAAATAATCCAGTTTGAGACCGCTTTAACTCCCCTGGCTCAGTGCTAGGGAATCTTGGGAATTGTAATTGTGGCACCAGAGCTCTCCAACAGAGAAGGCTAAATGCTTCCCACAAAACTACAGTTCCCAGGATTCCCTAGCACTGAGCCAGGGCAGTTAAAGTGGTCTCAAACTGGATGATTGCTGCAGTGTGTTTTGGACCAATGCCCCTCCCTAATCTGCCAATCCCAGGACTCCATAGGATGTTGCCATGGCAGTTACCGAGGAATCGTAGTACTAAAATTGTACAATGTGAAAGGGCTGTTTTGCCTTTTTAGCCTTCAGCACCGGAGAGTCATTGGGGGGTGAGGACACCTCGGAGGAGGGTGAACACCCAGTGAGGTAGTCCTATCCTGTCTGGCCTAGAGGATCTCCTCCCTCATGATGCTGATAAGGACAAATGTGCTATCAGCGTGATTGCATGCATATCTACTACACTGTAATTGCATTAGTATCTACTTGATGTCAAATCCCATTGAGTTTATTGAGGTTCACTCCCAGGTCAGAGGGTATCTAAGGGCCTTTACAGACTGCCAGAAATAATCAGTTTTGAGACCACTTTAACTGTCCTGGCTCAGTGCTTGGGAATCATAGGAACTGTAGTTTAATGTGGCTCAATGTCTCATTAAAAAATACAGTTCCCATGATTCCCTAGCACTGAGCCAGGGCAGTTAAAGTGGTCTCAAGCTGCATTATTTCTGGCAGTCTGTTCAAGCCCTAAAGCTACAGTGTATTTGTTCATTGATGTTGTTCCCTGCCTCAGTCCATGGGGAGAGGTGGGTAAGAAATAATAACAACCACAACAACAACCACAACAATTACAGTGCTAAATACATACAATAAGGACCAAGGCCAAAGACTAGAGCGGAATAGCATCTGAGTAAACATTATCTCAGGGGTAGGCAACCTAAGGCCCAGGGGCCGGATACGGCCCCCCGAGGCCTTTGGACCAGCCCCAGGCCGGCCCTGCCGCGGCCGCCACCACCACCGCCCCCACCATGATGATATTGATTATTGTTGTTATTACTTGTTCTTGGGGTTTTCTTGGCAAAATCTCCACGGGAGGTTTGCCATGGCTTTTCTGGGGCTGAGAGAGTGTGCATGCATATATATTTTTTATTTTTTTATTTTTAAATTTATTTATTTATTTATTTTTGGTGCTTCGGACCCCCAATTGTCTGCGGGACAGCAACCCAGCCCCCAGCTTAAAAAGGTTGCCTACTCCTGCATTATCTGGATCACACTTTTAACACCCTTCCATTATTTTCCCTACTCTTAATTGTTATACTATTTTAACGTGATTCTGATTCTGATTATTGTTATTATTAACAAAAATAAAACATTTTTATACAATCAGCCCTTCCTGTCCATAGAGTCTTTATCCACCTATTCAACCATGTACAGTTAAAAAATAAAATAAAATCCAAACAGCAAACCTTGAATTTGACAGTTTATATAAGGGTCACCATTTTACTGTTCTCAGTTCAGGTGGTATGGAGGGAGATTCAGAAATTCAATGCTCTCTGCTTAACAAAGGGGGGTTGCAGACTGCCAGAAATAGTGCAAATTGAGTCCACTTTTAAGGTTAGGGTTAGTGCTAGGGAATCATGGGAATTGTGTTTTTTTCCCCCTGAGACATTGAGCCTTCTCTGTCAGAGAGCTCTGGTGCCACAATAAAATACAGTTCCCATGATTCCCTAGCACTGGGCCAGGACAGTTAAAGTGGTCTCAGGATGCACTATTTCTGGCAGTCTGCAACCCCCCAATGGGGCTTGTGGAGGAAACTTGTCTCTAGAGGAGCATCTTTTTTTAAAACAAAAACAAAACAAAAAACCACCACCACATTATTAATAAAACATAGAAAATTATGAACAGAATCTTAAAAAACTGAATTTTATAAGAGTAGCATCTTTGGCCATGTAAACGCACTGGGTAATCTTGGGCAAATCACTCTCTCAGTGGCAACTCCATTTCTGAAGAAACTTGCCAAGAAAACCTCACAATAGGGTCATCTTAGAGTCGCCATAAGTCGGAAGCGACTTGAAGGAACACAACAATGGAGCTTTATTTTATTTTATTTCATTTCCTGGAATACCACATGGCCAGAAGAAAGAGGGGCCGGCCTGCATGAATGTCCCTCCAGCAACACCTGAACTGAGAGGAGC